TGCTAATGCCATAGTGCTTGAAATGGCCAATGAAGTATTGCCTGTAAGTTCTATGTACCTGCTGATTCACAAAATTAATTCAAGGAATTGATCAGATTTTGGATCAACCCTTTGCAATCATTACTTAAATATTAAAAAATAAATTGTATAACTAAATTCTCATATGTATGAATATTGGTGTAATGTTTTTATGTGTAGAAGTGAAATCAGTTTATTGATAAAGTCGGAATAGCTTTGAAGCCGAAAATGACTTATACATAATTTCTTTGATCAAGCATCATGATATATCCTGTTGAACTGGATATCTTGAACGTGGAGCATTAGGTATATCAGTAGATTATTTGGGACTCCCAATAACCTGAGTGAGTAATACTATACCTCTTTGGTTTGACAATAATGTTGGGAGTCTGTACACTGAAGTGTACTTTAGGACCCAAAACATTTAACTCAATATACTTTAGGACCCAAAAAACAGAGATATATTCTGAATATACCCTTCATTTTTTCATAATTAGATGTCATATAATATTTTACAGTTTTTCATAGTTTTGCGTTCTTATTTTATGAGTATATGTTTAATACAATAGTTGGTAATAAAAGTTGTATCTTATAAATGTGTATAGGTGGTGAAGACAGTTCCCGTGCTTGCTGGAGTATGTGCTTCTGATCCATTTCGTCGAATGGATTACTTTCTAAAGCAGGTGGAGTCAATTGGATTCTCTGGAGTGCAGAACTTTCCTACTGTTGGATTGTTTGATGGTAACTTCAGACAAAACCTAGAAGAAACAGGCATGGGATATGGGTAGGCTGTCGGTTACGGAACCTAATATTATTCCCAAATATTTCTTCAATATCATCTTATAACTTTTATTATTACATATTTGGACTTTTTTATCAGATTGGAGGTCAAGATGATTGAGATGGCACATAAAATGGGTCTCTTGACAACCCCATACGCTTTTAACCAAGATGAAGCCACGGAAATGGCAAAAGCCGGCGCAGACATCATAGTTGCCCATATGGGGCTCACTACCTCTGGATCTATTGGAGCCAAAACTGCTCTATCACTGGAGGAAAGTGTACTCCGTGTACAGGCTATAGCAGATGCTGCTCACAGGATCAATCCTAATGTCTTAGTTCTCTGTCATGGAGGTATTATCTACAAACTTCGTTGCTGATTGATTTGATTTTTTTTTTTAATAGGAAACAGAGAGAGTATATTCAGAACAGCAAAAGAGAAACATCCTAGGAGCAGGGTAGATATAACTCCCTCCCAAAACAAACTACATGATATTCGACCTCTAATGACTAATAATAATCGAGAAGTTGCAGTTACAGAAGAATTTGGAATGTAAAGAGGCCCACCAATTAGCTGATTTTTTTGTTTTTTTTTTTTTTACAATACTACAAAAAGAATCAAAATGGAGAGACTGGTAGATTTGAATTTAGCTAACTACTTTACTGCACAGAAATGTATGAACGGTCCATAATCCCGCTCCCTGCACCAATACTCAACACTTGGAGAACATACTAAGATTATGTGGTAATATATGCAAATATTACCACAGTTTGGTAATAAATGCAGAAAGCTCTCTCCTTTGTTAGAATTTGAGCCTTTCAGGACCACATCTTGGGGGAGGATTGGTAGTGCTAAAATGATAAATGGAATATCTTATATATCTTAGATAAGAGAAATAGTAGAAAATCAGAGAAACCATGGTGTGATTAACCGTAGCAGTATTGTTGGAGAGGAAACGGGCAGCCTAACATTTCTTATTTCAAGCCAATGGTTCCGCAATCCATTCCTGATAAAAGCTTTAAATTTCCATGTGAATTTGTGTTGTTCAATCACCATAGATTGGTCTAGAGTTTCCCCCAACAAAATAGGGTGGCAGAGCATATTCTTCTTGAACTTGCACGTTATTTTAATATTTGAACAACTATACAAAAAACCTTATGGGGCAATGCAGTCCAAATGATAACATACCTAATAAACCTTATGCCCTCTAGACTAAAATGTTACTGCCCTAGGCACACTTAGAGCCAACCAAAAATATAGATCAAGAAGTGTAAATGGGATTACCACTTGTAATTACTCATTTATTTGATCCACACTAGACTAAATACTGCATTTTCTGTAAATTTGGTCATTCATGCATAAAATACATCTACAAGCAATAACTAAGATACTGAGATGGTTAATGTTTGAAGAAATCTTGAAGCAAAGGACTTCTGTTTACAAGAATTGTCGTCTAACAATTGAAGGATACACTGATGGTGATTGGCTTGAATCAATTGTAGATAGAAGTCTTGCATAGACAGGCTGTCGCATCTTTGGAGAAAACCCTATTGAGTTTAGACCTCAGATCTATTGCCCAAGGTATAACCGTACGATAGAGTTGCTAGTACTGATTGGACTGCTAATAATTGTGACATAAAGATTTAACTCATAATCAAAATCTTGGACTAATTATGTTGAGATTGATAAGATTGGATGTGTTTTGATCTGCACTCCTTTCATTTTCCGTTGAAAAGCAATCTTCAGACATCCTAATTCCTAACATAAAGTCTGCCAGAATCTCAGTCTCATCCTAACGTAAGCAACCAACAATAGGGCAGTGTAGAAGATCACAATACCAAGTATTAAGAGTTTGTATCATTTGGTAATAAATGCAGAGTGTTAGACAACTTGGTAAATACATGCAGAATACTATGGCATCTTTGGCGTAATTAATTTCAAGAAATCAGGGGTACAGTGATGCCAATAGTTGGCTAATATTTTTCTCCTGTTAATTCCTATATTTATACTGATTGTATTCATTCTGAGAATGCAAAGATGTACAATTACTTGAATATTAAAATAATCTAATGGTACTGTCAGGTCCTATATCGGGCCCTACTGAAGCAGCATTCATTCTGAAGAGAACCAATGGAGTTCATGGATTTTATGGTGCATCGAGCATGGAGAGGCTACCAGTCGAACAAGCTATTACTAGCACTATCCAAGAGTACAAATCAATTTCAATGAGATGAGATTCGAAGCGCAGTCCTTAACGAGCTCGATATGCGACATGTATAATATATCTAGCACTAATCTAGATATTGCAGATTCAAACTTGGACTGCTGGAAAACCCGCTCTGTTTAATTCCACATTATTTCTGTCTTACAGGATATAAAAGATACTGTTTCCTTGAGGTGCTAACCGTCCCTTGTCGTTGCACATCTTAATCTGTGATGTCCCACATTGGTTGGGGAGGAGAACGAACCACCATTTATAAGGGCGTGGAAACTTTCCTCTAGCAGATGCATTTTAAAACCTTGAGGAGAAGCTCGAAAGAGAAAGCCCAAAGAGGACAATATCTGCTGGCGGTGGATCTGGACCGTTACATAATCTGACCCTAACTCAAGACGGAGAAAGATGTAGACCCATGTGGTTGCACATCTTGTACCCTCAGTCATTCTGTGCAAGAAGACCAACATTGTTATTTTGGCAACGTTCCTTCCTAGACAGGTCCTGGGTCTACACCAAAAGGTATGAAATTGTATGACTTTTGAATTTCCTGGGTCCAGACCCAATATATGTTGGAAGAATTATTTTATAGATCATTCTCCAAAACTTTTTTTCTTTGATTTTTTTTTAGCCGTAAAAAAAAAAAAAGTTATGATTATAAATTTTTAAGTAGATACATACTTTACGAAAGAACATAGACATAGTGGTTGTCTAATGAGATACTACGCATAATAATCTACTAATTCATAATAAGATAGTACTTAGGTAATCTACTAATTCATAATAAGATAGTACTTAGGAGAGCCGCGTTACATGTTTACCACTTGTTTTATTTATTGTTCTTGATATATATTCAAAATAGGATTTCTGCCTGAGTAAAAAAAACAAAAACAAACCAGAAAAAGTGATTGATTGTAGACAGACGCGTCAAATCTGGAAGGGTTGAATTGCATGGAGTCCTTTGTACAGATATGGGTCGTAATGAATGCATGTTGGGTCAATGTCGTCGAATTCTTTGACAAACTTAGACAGAGAATTGATGGGGGAAAGGATGAGCTAGAAGACGCCTAACCCTTCTGTGTTCTCATGGGGGAACACATAGGAAACTCTCCATTATAGAATGAGCATTTAAGTGGAGATTTGACTCTAAAACTAGCCCCAGCCCGAGTGTGTGATTTGATAGCCATACAAGTTGGAACACCAAACATGAGGTGTGCTCTCCCAGACCTTATCGCTCGTTTGGATTCCCATCTCATTGTGAAAATTTGTCAAATGGGCTTCTGCCTTCTGGCCCATATATAAGCAATGGGCTTAAACGGCCCAATTCTGAACTATGGCTGGCAAATGACATCCATAACCCATGTTCCATCATCAACACGTGCATGCCTAATTTGCCCCTTTTTAAGTACCTACCAATCCAACCCCGAGAAAATGCATTTTAAAATTTATAATCTTAATTCTGATAAAATCTCGTCAATACTATCTGAATTTAATAAAAAAAAGCTATAAATAATTTGTACACATTAATTTTTAAAATTATAGAAATTAAATTTCTAACAGACCAAAAGTAAATATAAATCTAAAAAGGGATTATATTCCACGATTATATTACGTAAGTAAATATAATTATAGATTCTCGGAAAAATACTAATAAATTTAACCTAAAACAACTTGAGACGAGAGTAAAACAGTTTTAATAAAACAACAATTTAATAATATATACCATCTTTATTCAATAAAAAAAATGTACATATAAAAGCACTAATATTTTAAAAGTTTATGACCATGTGATACTATCAAATTATAACCATAAAGAAAAAAATATTATATAGTTTAATTTAAAATTATCAAAATAATATTTTAAGTGAATATAAATTTAAGTGGAACGTGAAACTAAGAAAATGATAATGATAATAAATGTAAAAAGAAATGTAAATGGTTGAGTTGAAACGTGGAAGATACGGAAAAAAGAAGAAAGTGCCGAGTCTTTTCCGACGTCGTTTGGTCAATCCGGTCGGCGACGGGACGACCAAAACCAGAGCCTTCACCTTCTTTCTTATTTAAACAAACTCCATTTCTGCTCTCTTCCTCACAACTTCCCCTGTTTCCATTTCCCAGCCATGGCCTCCGACGGCTCCACCGCCGTATCTAACCTCGCAAATGCCAAGGCCATTCTCACCACCGTCGCTTCCTTTGCCGCCACCATCGTCCTTGCTCGCTCCGTCGCCGACGACTTATTCCCTTCCGAACTCCGTGAATACTTATACGACAGAGCTCGAAGCATCTTCGGCCGATTCTCCTCCCAACTCACCATGGTCATCGGCGAAATGGACGGTTTCAGCCCCAACCAAATCTACGAAGCTGCCCATATCTATTTAGCCACCAAAATCCCTCCCTCAACTAAAATACTCAAAGTCACAAAGCTCGAGAAGGAAGACAACATCACCACCGCCATGGAAAGCCACCAGGAAGTAATCGACACCTTCAACGGCGTTCAATTCAACTGGTTCTTCCTCTGCCAAGAAAACCGGCGGCGCGATTTCGACAACCCTCGTTCCTCCTACACCACCATCGACCGATCCTTCCAGCTCTGTTTTCACTATAAACACAAAGAAATGGTCCTCAAATCGTATCTCCCCCATATTCTCCTCCAGGCCAAAGAATTGAAGCAGCAATTCAAAACCCTCAAGATCTTCGCCGCCGACTACCCGAATGTCGAATACGGCAGCATATCGGAGATGTGGATTCCGACGAATCTCGATCACCCGGCCACGTTCGAGAAGCTCGCAATGGACTCTGAAATCAAGGATTTCATTCTGAATGACCTTGAACGGTTTGTGAAGAGGAAGGAGTTTTACAGAAAGGTGGGTAAAGCTTGGAAGAGAGGGTATTTGCTGTACGGACTGTGAATGTTTGATTAATCCACCACACCTAAATGGTGTGAAAGTTATCTTATTTATAATCAAATAAATTACAAGAATATGGAAATAGTAATAAATGGAAATAACAATAAATGGAAAGATACCTATAGTAATAAGGCAAATGTTAGATATTTGCCTTATAATAAAATATCAAATATAATATATATGGTAAACTATAATTTATTACTAAATATCCTTAACACCCCACCGCAAGCTAAGCGTCGGATTTAAACGAACGTGAAGCTTGAATCTGAAAAATTCAAAGAGGTTGAGAAACACTTTTCGTGAAGATGTTAACAACCTGGTTCAGAGGAGGCGTAGAGAAACACTTTCTTGGCCATCGAAAACTGCAGAGAGGTCGCCGCTCAGCGGCGATGCTGCCTTGGCTTCGGTGAGAATATGTCTAACCCATGAAGAGGGATTGTCGCTTAGCGACGATGCTGACTTGGCTCTGGTGAGAATATGTCTAACCCCAAGAAGTAGCAGGGGAAACCTAGAGCAAGGGACAAAGACAATGTTGAAGCCGGAAGAGTCGCCACATTGGGCGAATGAGCCAATTTTGGCGAGAAGGGCAGCTAGAAGAGTCGCCACATTGGGGCGAAGGAGCCAATTTTGGCGAGAAGGGCGGCGGCAACTTGGTTGGCGAAGATGCCAGTGCGGCGCCCAGATTCCAAAGGTAAATCTCTGCAGAAGGTCGATGGGCTTATTGAGATTCTGTATATTTTCGAAAAGGAATGCTGATGAAGATCCTAAGATTAGGGTTTTTGTGAAGGATGAAGGATGAAGGATGAAGGATGAAGGGAAAATTGGGAAGAAAATGAAAGAGGCTATGTTTGGAAAAGGTGAGGTTGTATGTACAGAGTATGGTGAAGGATGATTTGGAGGTCAAAAGGGTGGAGCCGAAGAATAATCAATCGGCCCTGCATGTGGCAGCCATGACGACTGCCCCTGCGGCGTCAAAGCCAACAGTGGTGGTGGAGAAGAACAGTAGAAGATTTCAAAAGCCATTGAAAAGAAAGAATCCGGGTTGCTAAACCAAAATGGCTCTGATACCATGTGAATGTTTGATTAATCCACCACACCTAAATGGTGTGAAAGTTATCTTATTTATAATCAAATAAATTACAAGAATATGGAAATAGTAATAAATGGAAATAACAATAAATGGAAAGATACCTATAGTAATAAGGCAAATGTTAGATATTTGCCTTATAATAAAATATCAAATATAATATATATGGTAAACTATAATTTATTACTAAATATCCTTAACACGGACCACCGGGAACAGGGAAATCGAGCTTAATCGCATCAATGGCGAATTACCTGAAATTTGATGTTTATGATTTGGAATTAACGGCGCTGGAATCCAATTCAGGTCTTAAGAAATTACTTATGGGTATTTCGAATCGTTCGATTTTAGTGGTGGAGGATATTGATTGTTCGATTCAGTTTCATGATCGGATGTCGGAAACGGAAGAAGATGATGAAACATCGTCGCCGCCGAGAAGAAAACAAGTGACGTTGTCGGGTTTGTTGAATTTCATTGACGGGTTGTGGTCGAGCTGTGGCGATGAGAGGATTATAATATTCACGACGAACCATAAAGAGAAGCTGGATCCGGCGTTACTCCGGCCGGGAAGAATGGATGTTCATGTTCATATGTCGTATTGCAGCCCTTGTGGATTTAGGGTTTTGGCTTCCAATTATCTTGGAATTGAGAACCATAAATTGTTTGGGGAAATTGAGGAACGGATTTCGAGTACCAAAGTGACTCCGGCGGAGGTGGCGGAGCAGCTGCTGAAGAACGACGACGGTGACAGAGCATTGACGGAATTGATTGAATTTCTTGAAGCCAAAAAGAGGGAAAATGAAGAATCCGAGGCTAAACTCCGTCAAGCTGAACTGGAAGCCGTAGAAAAAGAGAAGAAAACGGAAAAGAAAGGAGAAGAAAATGGTACCGTCTCTCCATTATCACAGACTACCACTCTTTCTTCTGATCCCTCACCGGCGTGACGACGACGACAATAGCATTTTTACTAATTTACCCCTCGCTACAAAACAAACTAATTCTAATGTATTTTTATTTATTTATTTATAATACCCAATAATATGCAAAATAATTCAATTAATATGCGAATAAAATGTCGTTAAAATTATCAAAATATATTTCAATTTATGACACATTGAAAGAATGAAGTTCGGTTATAAATTTTGGGTGAATTACCATCTAAATTATTTGGATTTTTTATTTATTTTTAAATTATATATTTGTTGTTTTTGGAAAATGTAGTAAATGAAGCATTTGTGTTTTTTTTTTACCAATGACTAACTTTCTTTAAAATTTTGAGCTGCACGTAGAATCATTGAAGGTAGAAACGATCGATCTTGCTTGCATGTGAAGTGATTCGAATCTCATACAAGTGTTATTGTCTTGAGATATTTGATCAATAAGTATCATTCAAGCTAGACATGATCGATCTTGCTTGTGGAGTAATTCGAATCTCAAAAAAATGTTCTTACCTTCCATATTTAATCTACAAAGTAATCCGAATTAAAGGAATTGGAATTTAAAAGTTTAAATTAAAATGAATGTGTGTTTTTTTTTTTTCTAAATAAAAAAAATGATGTGGTTAAAGAAGGAGACTTGATCTAGTCAATCCAGTCGGCGACCCAAAGTCGTAACTTGGTGACCAAGTCCACTGTCCCACTCATCAATGTCTCAATTTAATATTTTATTTTATTGTTTATATTATTTAAATTAATATTTAATTTGTCGGTCTTTTTAAAAATTATATTTCATTATTTCTATTATAAAATCAAATTACTACGATTTAAATATGAATTTTTTTAATGAAGCCATCCATTTAATTTAATAATACTTACAAAATATTCAAATCCAAAATATAGTATGATTCAGTCTTGTTTCCATTTATTTCAATTTAATAATATTTTTTCATTTATATTGTTTATAAATAATCGATGAACGAATTAAAATTATCGAAAAATTGAATGTAAGACAAATTTAAATAAACGTGGAAGTTTAATTACTTATTTATTTTATATTTAATTTTGACCGCGATTATCGATTCACTTAACCTAAATCTTTTGTCAATAAATAATTATTGTTTACTCAATAAAAAATCATTTTATAAAGGTCGAAAAACTTATAATAATATAACGTCATAAAAAATTATATAATTTTTGATGTGTCAATAATATTTAAAAATTAAATTATAGAAAATAGGGTTCTTAAAATCATAGGTTAAGATTTTATATAAATAGAGTGTTTTAAACAACACTATTACATTATTTAATATTAGATAATTAATTGTGGTTAGCTATGAAATTAGATTTTAAAATATTTGTATTAATTTAATTTTTATTCATTTTATATTAAAAATTTTAAATTTAATTTGTAATAAATTTTAATAATTGAAGAAATAAATTATATAAAATTTTAATGTTAAATATTTAGTAGTAATATTATTAAAATTATATAAACTTATTTTTATTTATTATAAAACTTACAATTCTTTTTTATTCCTCTTTCCCAAGAAAAATAATAAAAACTGCCTACCAAACATGGATCATTTTCATACTTTTTAATTTATTTTATAATGTTATTAAACGGGTATTTTTTAAATATGTATTAAAATATTAATAAGACTTATTTTGAAATATTTTAAACCATTCAAAAATATTTTTAAAACAAATATTAGTAATTTTCATCCTAAATTAACAAAAAAAAAAAACTTATTTTTATTAATGTTTCCGTAAAATTCTAAAATTATTGATGTGATTTTATCGATTTTTTTCCCACAATTAATAATATTTGAGAGTGACAATTACATAAAATAGAAAAACATTTTATAAAAAATAACTTTAATGCATTATTTTAAAAAGAAATATTTATATAATGCAACATGCTTAATTATTTCATCGAATTACAATTTAAAATTTAAATTCTAAAAAAACACATTAAAATCGATAATAGATTTTAATATAACCATAATAAAACAAAGGTTTAGTTAACTAATATGAATTTAATCTCGTTATTATTTTTAAAATTTAATTAAAATACAATAAACTATTAAACTAATACATTTGATTAATTATATTTACTATAGTTAAAAATAGATATTTAAAAATATAAAAAGTAAAATAAAATGATATTTTTTTTACCTTGTATACCAAATTTAACCTATTTTAAATATAGTTGGTAAATACAAAATAAATAAAAAAAAATAGGGAAATAGTGCTTTTTGTTGGAAAAATAAAAAGGTAGCGGTTTTTAATGGATGTAAAAGGCAGGAATTTTGGATGAAATAAAAAAGGACAAAATTTGTTTCATAAAAAATTACCGCTCAGTAAACGTGAGGGGATGCTTTTAAATGGTAAGGAATCTTTTTCAATCACCACAAAAAGACAAAATTTGTTTCACAAAAAATCAAGGCAGTTTTAACAACTTTTTCCTTTCCCTTTTCCCTTTTATAACTCTTATTTTTTTTATTTTGTTTGAGTTATTTATTAATATAAACAATTTAATTCTATCGAATCAATTTTTATTAAATTAATTACATTATCTAAATAATAATTAGCCGAACTACTTTCGATCACGATCACGACAAGGTTAGTCGTTACAGAAATGATTAACCGAACCACATTAACTTCAATTGTAACGTATAAACCGACACGAATAAATGATTAGCCGAACCACTTTCGGTCCCGACAAACTAAGAAACGTATAAATCTATACGAAAATAGAATGTATAAACGAATAGGGCTATCGGTTGGTCGTAAACGGCTAATAGAGAATTACCCATTTATGTCGTAATTTAGTGTAATATTGGGATTTTGGATGAAATATTAATGTAAATTTAAATTTAGGGATAATAAATTATTTATAGTCAAAGGTATTTTTTAGATAGACGTGTGAAGGGCGTGGTTTCAACGTCATACTAATTGCTTAAACCCTAAGGTAATTGCAACCGTTCTTGATCGCCAAGGAATACTAAGCCAACTCTCTTTTATAAATACCTCCGCTGCCGATTACCCTATTCCTCATCCCTTCTCCGCCGCGCTCCGCCGTCTAGTATCATGTTGAATTTCAAGGAAATGGCCGTACCCCAATCGGCCTCCGCCGTCTTTTCCGCCTACGCCTCCTTCGCCACCACTATGATGCTTGTTCGTTCTATAACCAGCGAGCTACTCCCACCCAAGATTATCTCCTTCTTCCATTCAATTTTCTTCTATTTTTTCGGCTCTGTTTCGTTTCAGGTCAAGATTATAATCGAAGAGAATTGTGGGTTTAGCCCTAACCAGATCTTCCAAGCGGCGGAGGTTTATCTCCGTACGAAAATCAGCCCCTCCACCGAGACTCTCAAGGCCCACAAAACCTCTCGCCAGAAGAAAATCACGCTCTCCATCGATAAGGGTCAAGAAATCGTCGACCACTTCGACAACATTCGGCTCCAATGGCGATTTGTTTGTTCCCATGATGAACAAAATGGTGGGGGAAACAAAGAGAAGCGCCATTTTGAGCTTGTGTTCCCCAAGAAATTTAGGGACAGAGTTGTGGAGTCCTATTTGCCTTATGTGTTGAAAAGGGCTAAGGAGATTAAAGAAGAGGATAAAGTTGTTAAGATCTTTAGCCAGGAATGTCAGTATGATGAGGACGGCGGGAGCGGGAATTGGGGGTCTATTAATCTTGACCATCCTTCCACGTTCGAGACGCTCGCCATGGACCCTGACTTGAAACAATCCATTATCGATGATTTGGATCGGTTCGTTAATCGCCGGGAGTTTTACAAAAAAGTGGGGAAGGCTTGGAAGAGAGGCTATTTGTTGTATGGTCCTCCTGGTACAGGGAAATCGAGCTTAATTGCCGCCATGGCTAATTACCTCAAGTTTGATATCTACGATTTGGACCTCTCTTACATTTACAGCAATGGTGATCTGAGAAGGGTTTTGTTATCCACCACGAATCGGTCGATTCTGGTGATTGAGGATATCGATTGTAGCGTGGAGATACAGAATCGGGAGAACGAAGAACATTATGATCAATCCAACGGGAAGGTTTGTATCTTTTTGTGATTGGGATTTGAATGGAGAATTGAAATGGGTTTTTGATTTTGATTTTGATTTGGATTTGCAGTTTACTTTATCGGGGATGTTGAATTTCATTGACGGATTATGGTCGAGTTGTGGGGATGAAAGAATCATTATCTTCACGACGAATCATAAGGAACGATTGGATCCAGCTCTGCTTCGACCAGGTCGAATGGATGTTCATATAAACATGTCGTATTGTACTCCTCATGGGTTCAGGGTATTGGTGACGAATTACCTCGGCGAGGAAGCGGATAAGCATGATTTGTGCAGAGAAATTGAAGAGCTAATCGGAGAAATGGAAGTGTCTCCGGCGGAGATTGCGGAGGCGCTGATGAAGAACGACGACGCCGATGTTGTTCTTCAAAGCCTTGTTGAGTTTCTGAAATGTAAGAGGGAAGAACAGAGGAAGAAGGAGGAGGAGACGGCGGCGAGCGAGAAGAATGAAGAGGAGGAGGAGGAAGAGGAAGAAGAAGAACCCAAAAGAAAGAGACACAAAAGGGGTGTTAGGTTAAGAATTGGGCGCGGGCGTGGGCGTGGGCGTGGGCGTGGGCGTGGATTGATGTGAAAGGGGATTGCATTAGCCATTGACGGAAACAGAGGAAGCCCTGTTTACTGTGGAAGGGTTGGTTCGGCGGCGGAGGCCGAGTTGACTCGGTGGGGCTGAGTTGAGTGATTTGGGGAATTGCCTGTTTTTGTTTGTTTTATTATTTACAGACACAGGATTTGCAGAAGAGGAGGCGATTTTTTTTTTTTTTTTTTTTTTTTT